TTGAAGCAAGAATGTGTCTTATCTCCTGCCATGGTAAATATTTATCTTTATGCTATGATGTCAAGTGCTTTTGAAGCAAATTTAGCTTGCGGTCTTCGTGTGGAGCGCCGTATTGAGGTTGGGTTGCTGAACATCCGTCTTTTTGGGGCGAGAAACCTAGTCTGTGATACAACTATCCGTATATTGTTAGTTGCCAACGACTGTGGGTTGTTTGTACATAACGCTGATGAGTTACACCCATGACTAGTGCTTTGGCTTCGACAGCGGCTAAATTCATGCTCACCATATACACAAGCAAGTCTGTCTGTTGCTTTCAGCCTTTACCAGAGATGCAATCTATAATGGTGCCGCAAGTCGGCATTGGTGCTTACGTATTGGAAACCACTGCCCGCTTCTGCTACCTTGGGAGTGTGGTGCCGGTCGACCGTCAGCGGTACAGCTAGCCCCACACCCGCGTAACGAAGGAATCGGAGGCAATCGGGAAACTAGAGTACCGAGTGTGGAACAACCATCAGCTCACCGTTTGCATGAAGCTGATGGTGTACAAGGAGATGGCGCGGCCCGTTCTTCTATACAACAGTGTAAACTGGACGATGTACCAACAGGATGTGCGACGTCTCGAACGGTTGCATCAACAGTATCTGCGAATTGGTTGGCGCGACAGAGTTGCAGACACGGATGTCTTGCGCCGAAGTGGAATGTTTGCAGTGGACTGCATACTTTCGCTGAGCCACGTGAGGTGACTCGGTCTTGTGTGGCTTATGGATTTGACGCAGGTACCGAAACAACTATTATATGGTCAACTGTGTTTAGAAGCGGCATGTGTGGAAACCAAAGCTTCGTTACCGGAACCTGACCAAAGTGGGTCCCTCACGTTTCAATATTTATTGCAGGTCATTGGAATCAAAAGCAGTTGATCAGCGTGCATGGCCTGAGCTGCTCATAAAGGCCGCTGTTAGGTGCAAGATAAAGCGTTCGTTCATGCAGAGAAGAAGCGGCAATAGCGAAAACGACTGCCGTCTATGGGTTGTACTCCATCGACGTCGAGCGCATGGTGTTGTAGCACATGCGGTCGCACTCGCCTGAGTCAGGCTGGCCTAGTTAACCACTAGTGAGGCCACATGGAGCCACCACAGAAACGACAACGAGTCCTGCTGATAATGTAGTCGGAATCGACGCAGTCTTGGTAACTAAGCTGCATGCGATTTACTAACCACATGTTTACATGCTGAGTCCCTTTATTTCAGTTGGTGTGTTTGTTATAATGTCCCAATGCATGTTTATATCATCTTAATATCTACCTTGACTATCTTCTGTAAAGTTTCACACGTTTCTTAAACTACTTAAGTTAACTTTGCTAACGTTTCCGCGCTTGTGGCGTTTGCTTACTATATTTTTTCTGGCGTCTTGAACTTATCGTGGATTTGTTGGTAACCGATTTATTTTACATGCTCATTTCTTGAAGAGTTAGGTCACCGTATCTTTATACATTATTCGATTTGTTTTAGTTTTTATCATCGTTTCAAGTGATTGGCCGTTGCTTGATCTCCCCGGTGTGGCTGCGCTTGATGTGCATGTTGACAAGGTGCCTACCTGTTTATCACCCACTACCTCGTTCAAACTGGCTCCAGGAGACAGTTAGTCGTTGATGGAGGGGACGAGATGCACGGTCCTTGTGACCGTTCTAGGCTCGAAGAGTGGTTCCATGCACTCAGTGTGTATTGGACTACGGTCCAGCCACCAACTTGTGTACGCTTGATTCCCCAAATACAGCGTGCTTGTGTTTGCCTGTGAAGGACTGTGAGCCGGCTCCGTTGACGAAACGTGGCTCCCACCCACATGCCTTCCGGGCTTATTCCTTCGGGTTTACACAGGATATGGGGTGTGTGGTTGGAGCTGTGGGTGGTGAAGTGCTAGCTACTTATGGTCTTTTGATATGCGCAGGCCTCCTGTGGCTGGCCACCGTGACATGCAGATCCAAAACCGGATGCCGCCGCCCATATCTATGTATGTATATATATATATATATATCCTTTGATATATCTTTCCTGTCTTGCAAGCAAGCAACTTATCTAGCTTAAGCAGATAGAATTAATTTATGCAACAAGAAGGGTGTTTCATCGCAAGTGGCTGTTTTACGTTCGCTTTGTAAGACGGTGTTTGACAAAGTACTTGCTTTGTTTGGTCATGAAATTGTTGTATCCACTAGACTTTTAATTATGCGACTATTTTGGCTGGCGCCCACGACTGTTCACTATGCTAGTTTGTTGGCGGCTTCTTAGGTCAACATTTAAAAGTAAAACGGAACCAAACTGTTATGGAACAGGTTTTGTCTAATGAGCTTCAGTTCGAAGCGCAGTAACGCAATAATACTCAATTACATATTGTCTAACAAATACTAGGCTCATCTATTAACTTACATTAGCCGTTACATCACATGGTAGCATATGATTTTAAATTTAACTGTTAATCTTAAATTACAATCAGGGCGCCTCAGTAACCATTTTCATTTCAACATACTTACGGAAGTTAGATCAGATGATATATGGAAGCTGATTGTCAACACTTCCGATCGATGGCCAAACATAATACTATTAGCAAAATAATTACACAATTTCATTGCTTATTATGTGCAATGTTACGTGCGCGCGCAGACCACTTATAAAATTAAGCTGTACATTTTCAAGTTAGTAAAGCCACAAATCTACAGCCGCTAGCTATGCTGCTTAGATGTTTGACAAAGACAATACGGCATACTCCTTACACTAAACACAGTAGTTATATGGTCTAACTGCTTTACTAAAGTTAAGGAAATTATGAAATTGCTCCAGCTTTAAAAACGTGGGTGTAACTACTGAAGAAGTATATCTTTGATTTGGTATGTTTTTCAGTCAACGGCTTTCGACAAAGCTGGCGATGGTCACAAATCGTAAAAACTGCCACTATTAGCTACTTAATCCAAAGCCCTACAATAGGATATCGAAGATAACAAAATAACATACTTCACAAAAATACAACTTTTACCGGTGAAATGAACATAGGTTTGTTAACGTGTAACACTTTAGAAACTTTCGTGTAAACAGCAACGCACTGCACCCGCGTCGTCAGCATGCTTTCAAGTAAGTTCCCAGTTCTTAGGTAAACCTCTTGGTGGTATTTATTCCTGTGGTATGTCAATTTCTATGAACAACGGATGCATTAAGTGCGTAACCTAAGTGGTTGCTAGAATGGTTCTTTCCACAATAAATACGTTTAGATGGTTCTTTATGTTCAAAATTTTTCAACCGATCACCAAGGCCTTTGCTTGCTAATTTTAAGTTTAAATGAGCTAGACTGCTTAGTTCAAACACAGCAAGCCTCGCTCAGTGCATGTTGAGATCGCTGCGACTAATAAATGAGGAAAGCGTAGGAAAGCGCCTTCATCATTATGACGATCACTATGCAAGAGTAATAGAAAAAAGAGGATAAAGCGCAGAAGCAGCCAGTAGCAAATGTTACCGTCAGTTCGCTAACCAATCAAGGTTCTGCTACACAAGTTCTGCTAAATCAGTCGGTGTATTCTAACCTATCGCTCAGAAATAAAATGATAAAAATTAAGCGACTAATATTGCCCTCACTGCTGACTCGGCAGCGCGCAACCTGGTTGACTGAACGCAAAAATTTCAAGCACTGCAGTTCCGTAAGATAAGCGCGCATACATAGTAATTAAAAATTTGTTGTTCAGTATCAAACTATCAAAACCGGGCCGATTTTGCAAACCCAGGTACCTAGTATTTTGTAACTATTTCATCGTAATTGCCGCACTTGATACCTTTGCTTCGTCGGTATAAAGATTGTAGTAAAACACGTCCGTGTGTCCAGTGCTATTTGTCAAACTATTGTGTGTCTTTTATGATGTTTATAAGTAGTGACAACTAAGCTCAGCTACAGCTGCCTTGTAAATTCAGTACCTGAGTTGTTACCATAACCTAAATTATATCCATTAGTCATTTATGTTCTTCTAGAAACAAATGTACATAGTTAACTGACCAACTCACAATTACTTAGCAGCCAGTACAGACGTTTGTAAAACTAAAGCGAACACTTTTGCCACTTTAAAATAGAAAATGTCAGTAAATTGACCAACTATGTTTACATGGCATAGTTTTCTCTAAAGTGTTTACAGCCTTGCCTGAGTTCCTTTGCAGTTCAGATTAGTGTTTTAAGCAAACAACTTTTATCGTGTTTATAAACAAAGTCAAATCAACACCATTAATCAATAGTCATACGCGGGAGCATCAAAAGACTACGGCTGAGTAGCCAAGTTGAGTGCACTTGACCGTCCAACTGAGACAGATTTTAGACAAATTTCGGCCCGATTTCAATGAACACATTTGAACGAACAGCCTTATCTCCTCATATGGGAACCTTTTACTGCACTCAACAAAAGCGGATGCAGGGAAAACTACGCTAGATGTGTTTGAATAAGTAACTGTCGTCCGAAATTTATCTCATTCGAATAGACAGTGGGACACAGCCATCAATCCGCGACAGTCTATCGATCGCTCATGATGGCTGAGTATAGTGGTTTTAAGGAAACAATAGCTAAGTATCATGTAACCTGTGACGCAAAGCTACCTTAACATAAGCACTGCCCTTGTTAGGCACTTCACCATATTACTGTTTACTAAATTACATTTATGCTTTAGACAAAAGTAGGTTGAAAATGTACGTCTAGTCATCGACCCTCTCTGATGAAGCGGCAAGTTTTACTAAGATAAGAACGGATATGCTAGCGTTACTTTCACAAGAAATAGCCAACGTTAGACTAAAACCTCAGACAAGCTTAGGGCGCCTGAAATCGGTTCTCAGAGCTGCGACGTGCACAATCAACACAGTACTAAAGTGCTGTAATTTGGACAAAGTAAAACTAAGTTTAGTGCAAACTGCACACATTATTGAAGTGGAAAGTACAATATCGTAAACCAAGGCAAACTTCTAAGGACCAAAGTGATACATACTACTATGCTCCTTCTGTCGCCATGAGCGTCGTCCGAAATATTATATCGTCGTGGCGCCTCAGATGATAGCACAGAAACCTGTCGTTTTTTTCTTAAAGCTGTCTTCTGCCCCGACATTGTGTACTCCACTATGAACTGTCCAAGGAAAACTCCCTATAAGCGGAAACAAATCTCATTTTCCAAAGATCACCATGCAAGGTCATTTTGTTATAGTGCTACAAAACAAATAGTTTATGTAACGGTGGTTTGTTTAAAATTGATACCAAACAGACTAAGTAAGCACAAATGTTTTACTTAAGACTTTCTTTATTTTGGTCTTGATATGTGAGTAAGGAGAGTTTTTATTAAAGGTTAGGTTCTAGCATGATAAAACATGTTCATCCGAATGGCTTAAGATCAGCGCCTTTTTCAGTTCCACTTTTACGAAATCTTAAGAGTCGCATGAAGCTGTCCCTTAGCAGCATACGACTAGTCTCGCGGTTTCTTATGATAACCCGATTTTAAGTTCAGCGAAGTCCTCGATCAGAAGTTCTACCAACCAAACGTTTGGTCAGGTGTCATGCCTCGGTAAATGAGATGAGCTGATACAGACGCATTTGGTATAGCCTTCTGGAGCCAAACACGGCATGGTCTAATTAACTGTTACCACATAGGTATAACGTATCAAGATGCGCATGCGTGTGCAGTGACAATGACATTTTACTCCATCAAGCCTCGCCATCAGACTTTTACACATTTTGTTTTACTTTGCACTCTTCCAAAGCCTATAAATACCGAACTGCATTTTTGAACTTGTTCCGCCATCTTGCCCTCGCTTTGCCGGCTGTTGCGCTCCGACGTGGTGTAACTCATTGCTTCACCACATTCTCCCACTGTCATCAGGCTATAGTTGCATAGCTATTGTACACAGCTATTTTCTCAAGACATTCCTTATATCCAGCCGTCTTCTGTCTTACTGGGCTGCGGATTTCTTGTGTAGCATCCGTCAACGCGCTACATAATTGGTGACCCCGACGTGACACCGGAAACAAAATGTGTCTATTATCGAATGCTGTCTGCTCCAAAGCAACTTTGCTCAATGAAACTACTCTCGCACCGAGCGTTTAGGTGCGACATACCGTTAAGTTTTTCGGTATCTCTGTGAACTAACAAGTTGTTACCCTTTAGCTGCTGGGCATTTTACTGCGTATAAGTGTTACGGTTTTGCTGCTTTCCTCTTTTTCATGAATGTCTTATTGTGCACCCGTGCGGACGTAGAGGCTAATCAAGCTTGCGGGAGCACCAGCTGTGCTTTGCAGGTGACTGATGATTCCGGCGTCATGCGGTGCACTTACTGTAAATATAGATCCATTAGTAATGCACCGATCTGACTGGTAAACCGTACGCCATGGTAAATATCTGTGCCAGCATTTCCCTGCGATCCTTTGCGTGGGCGAGGACAGGGTCGGCCGGACTTCTTCTGTAGAGACTACCAGCTTTGGATAATTCAAGCACAGCGGTCGCCACGCTGGTAACCAATCTTGATGGTAAGTGCAACTAGTTGCTAGAGGTACCTGTGGTTCCAAATGATGTCACTTTGCTAAAGCCGAACCTACAGATCAGCCGTTTTGGTCAAGCGGTGGTGCCCACAATAAAAGCAAACGCACGTGTTATGGTATGGCTAGCAGCGTGATATTGCGTAACTGAGTGTTATGCATTGCGGCGCTAGGTCCTGCACATAGGTTGGACTACCTGCGGTGGCACCAGATGTGCTTATCGAAGCTCCTGCGCTTGGGTTTCCAGGTAGTATGGTCAGGAAACATTAGGCTAGGTAACGTCCCAGGTAACGAGCCAGCCCCTCGACCGCGCATACTGCGTGTGACCTTATTTAACCCGGCGGAACGCACGGTGCGGTTGCGGTTTGCTTTCAGTATAAAGAACACTACTTTTGACACTCAGGTAGACCCACCCTAACGGTGTGTCTCGTTTTACCGAGAATATACCATTTATTTATTTATTGTATGGTTGAAGCGATAAGAGTCCTGTTGGACCTATATTGCAGACGTGCAGCCGAAAACCAGTGTCTTCAGTCGGTGGGTATTCAGGTGCCCAGCCGGCAGTCCTTTGCCGCCAGTGCAAGTTCAGTTGGTACAAGATCCGCGTTCGGACATTGCGTATACTTTTACATGGTTCACAGCAACGTGCGCACGAGAGAGGTGTACTTGTAGATGAGTCCCGTCCTTATATACTCGTATTCGCGTGAACGAGTTTGTCTCAGGACCTCACGGATGAATTGCATCTCTCAGCCTACGCACTATTTAGATGTGTTAGCTTCATTGGCGGAGAAGAAGAGGGCGTTGCGCGTTGTTACGTTTAAAGTGGACGTTTTAGGTCCCTGCATGTTTCAGTCAACAGACAAAACTGACGAAACTTTGTCGATAGTGATCAACACTAGCTGGTATTAAAGTAGAAACTTTGGACGAATGGATGCAGACCCGCCAACACCCAGTTGCAGCTGTCCGTGATCGCAGGTACGTTACATAATACTGTCGTTCAAAACGTGTGAACTGTTCTAAATACATAACGGCTGTATGTTATTGGTACGAAGCGTGTCGCCACGGTCTCTGCGATTACTCCTCAGTTGAACTTGTTCCACAGGGTCTTGTTGGTCAGGCCATTTAAGCAGAGGCTGCGAGTAAAGTTCCTCAAGCGAACCCGCATAACACCCACTGCCTTGTGGTTCAGACGGTTGAGGCGAACACTAAGGGCGGGGCACCTCGAACACAGTCCCTATATCAGAATAGACAACCGAAGAGAGACCTCTATCCTTCAACCACTTCGACCACCGGCTTCTGGTATTCTCCGTTAACTTGCTGTTCTTCACCGGCTACCGAGCGATCGGCTGCCGCTGTCCCCGCAATCTATTGCACAGCAGACCTGTTGCAACACCGCCACTTGCTGAAGCGCCAGGGCGGACGTGGGAAGTAGAAGTTGGACGTCCTACACTTGAAGAGGTTAAACATGAACCTTCCGTATTGCAACGTAACAAAGGGATTTGACAACCTGCATCCATCTTTGCTGAGAGATGGTAAGGCCTGTCGACTGGACTCAATTCTATAGTTAAGTTGCTCGCAATCCTGAAGAGATCCCCTCACATCGCTGACCGACAAATATCCCGCTATCGCCGAACACATACTAGAACTGGTGGCTCGGTTCCCATACCCCGGTAGCTGGCTCAACTGTGGTGGTCGCATAACTGCGCAGGTTAAGTCGCGTATCAGCAAGGCCCGTGCGGCTTTCACAGCTTCAAGACCTAATGAAGTCGGCAACGGTAAACTTCACTCGCATTCAGGATATTGCGCACCTGCCACGTTAATTAGCTTTATGCTGCCAGTTCAGCTACAGGCCAATAGGCCCACGGATTTCTACCCCTTAACGTGCGTATCTTCTAAACCAATTGGGGATGAGCCACGACAGGTTTATTTCGTCATCAAACACCTCAGCTCCCAACTATCCACTGACAAGTCTTCTCTTTGGGCTTCAGTGGATTTCAATGGAATGGTAGGGAGCAGAAGAGGACCCCCTGTCAGTTCCTTTACTTGCTGTTCAAAGTAGAGATAGCGCTGAGCTTTGTGAAACCTCGTTCCACAGACGACCATCACGATCGTAGCAAAAACAACACGAGCCCCGCTTACGCAGCAGCTAGGAGTCCAACAGTCGTTTACAACTTTCCTCATACTGTGCGCTTACAACTGGCTCAGGTAAGTTGTTTCCGTCCATCACCACACGAGTGGGCAAAATAACAACGGAATAGACTCGGAGTCTCATCGGTTTAAACAGGTTCCAGGAGTGACTTTGCGTCGAACTGTATACTCTGAGTTGAAAGAACTCTTTCAGTTCATTTCCCAACCTCACCCAAATTATGCCTCCAGAATATATCAGACAACCACGACGAAAACGACGCTAATCCAGGGAAAACATGTTCATGGTTCGAGGCCGTTGGGCGAGGGACAAAGTCTGGAGCACTGTGGTCAATTTCGATCCTCACTTTCGGCCCCCTCTATGAGGACATGTTGGGGGCTATGTGGGAAGATAAACCGTAGGTAAATCATATTCGAGGATAGAACGCACGGGAAGCAAAAGGCGCACGAATATTTTAGGAGCCTTGCGGGACAAAGATCTCCTTATGGCACAGAAGCTCCTATTTGCAGCCGCTACCCTCATCAAGGTGTCCTGTGTTGTAAGCTACTCAGGAGACACAAGTACATCAGGGTCCTGCGCTCAAGCATTGTTCCTGAGAAAGAAACAACCAGTGTGATAAAACCGACACGGTCACGGATCATTGATAGGGAAAACTGAGCACTTATCATAGTTGATGGGCAGGTGCCACTCCAAGAAACATCTGTGTAGCTGGACAAGTCTCACTTGCAGTTGATCAGCACCGTCGAGTTCAAACATCTCTAGACATAGCCTTAATCGTCAGCACATAGCAAGCAATCAATTTTGAGTTCTGATGGAAGGTCCTGAATGAATAATTTAAACAACTGGAGATATATGACGGAAGCTTGCGGAACCCCACTGGACCTGATAACGGGTTTGGAGTAAGTTTCATTTACCGGCACACGCGCACAACAATCAATCAACCAACCAGCGATCCAGTAGTGGAGTTCCCGAAAACAACAATCCCCGAAGTTTAAGCAGCCGTTCGTGCAAGACTTTATCAACCGCCTTTCTGTAGTCGACAAAGACGACACCCAGCTGATTGCCGGTATCCAAGTATTTAGCTTGTTTTTCTATGGCCACATGCAGGTAGGTGGCACAACAGCGGGTGTTCCGGAAGTCATGCTGCGCAAGCGAGATGGCCTTCACGTTATCAAGATGACAGTTCAAGGTACTCTAGAGAACTCTCCATGCTTTTGCACACCATGGATTTTAAACAACTCTGCCGATGGTCCCTGGAGCTGGACGATTCCCAACTTTACACATCAGCTTAACAACATCAAATTTCCATGTAAGTGAGAGATGTCCTGCATCAAGCAGTCACAGAAAAACGTAGCAAATAGCTGCAACTGTGTATTCAGCTACCCCTTTTGCGAAACAGAAGGTAAAGCCGGTTGAAATGCCGATTCAACTCCAGACGCCATTTTGTGACTGACGCAGTGCTGCTTTCAAGGTAAACCATAGTAAAGGTAGACGTGTGGACAGGTTTATCGAGTATCGGCTCTTCACTTACGTAGACA